TATGACACACACACACACACACACACACACACACACAGCCCTGCCCTCCATGCTTATGCCAAGGGGTTGTAGACACCGATTGTGGCTCCTCCACCAAGCTCAGCCCAGCAAAGTGCCACCACCTATCCTATTCTCTGGCCTGGTTCCCCCAAGTGTCAGCACACAAACACACAAATGGCCGGATCATAGTGCCTGGGTCAATGGTAGAATCATGTGTAAGTTTCTTTTTCTCACCCCTTCATACTGCTAATGCTGAATTTCACTCTTGGAACTGGAAGGAAGGCTGTTCTTCCACAGCATAGGATGATACACAGATAAAACCAGCATGTTATTTTACACTGGTATTTTAAAAGGAAGACAGCATTTGGAGGGGAAACTAGAGATCTGATCCCATTACCACGATCACCCGCACATGCACACACACAAATTCAAGAATGCAGATCTTTAGTACTCTTTGGCTAAAGTTTTTCTTAAGGCAACAGGCAGTGGAAGGTGGATGTCCAAAATGTGCTGGACTCCGTTATTAAAAATCTGCTGATTCAAACAATGCTCATTCGTCCCACAGTTCTAGACAAACGGTATGGAGGGGAGGGACTGGTCCACTGGCTGTGGGGAGTCACTCACCTCAGCAGAGGCAAGAGGCCAACATTAGCCCCTGGAGAGGTTCCCACAAGCCGGAGATTTTACCAACATGTCGTGGTGGGTGAAATCTTTTCTCTAACCCTGGCTCCGTTCTCCAGCTTTTTGTAGAAAAAGAAGAGTAAGGGGTTCAGGGTCTCCACAATCCTGCCCTGAGAGCTTGTCTCTTCAAAAAGGGGCCATTGTCCAATAAGAGCTGAGTAGCTGTGTCCAAGGAAGAAAAAAATCTCCTGGACATTTTAAAAAATGGCCTCTTGAATGTAGTGCCAGTTAACTTCTGCATAAACATGCCTAAGATTGCGCAATATAATCTCTATGGCTGTGAAGCTAACTATAATCTCACAAAGGTGATTCAGATAGAAAGCGTTCTGTCACTGGGCCAAAGTGATCAACAGAGGACAGCCTTGGAGAGGAAGAAAGGAAGACAGAATGTGAAACAAACGTGCTTTGGCGACTCTAGAGAGCAAGTGACTTTTGTTTACTATCAGAAAAGGGGGAAATTGGTTTTAGAGACTGAACAAACTTTCAGGGAGACTGGAAAGAAGAGTTCAGATGTTCATTCGCAGTTCATATTGTTGATTTCTGTGCGTGCGTGCCCTTATTAAAAACAACAAAGATGAAAGCACCTTGACTTTAGAGAGCAGCGCTAGACGAGTTTCTCATTAACTATCTTAACATTATATGGAAAATGACGCTTCTGTCCCTAAGTTGATGCACACTTCAATTTACCTGTTACCGCTGTGTCTTCCATTCAGCTAGGAAGAAAGCACCTCTTGATTATGGTTAAAACTGGGATAGCCTTTTACTTTGAAGAAAGGTGGGTGGGCAAGAGAATGAGGGGAGAATCAGTAGGGTCCTATTAGCATCCATTGAGATACATTGGTAGTATCGGGTGTGCTTTTAAGGGAAAAGGGAAGAGGATGCAAAAATTAATAAAGGACCCGTCATTGCAAAAGCACATCAAAGACGAGAGGTGTGTGGGGTGGCAAGCAGCAAGGACAGCCGTTTTGGAACATGTGGTCAGTGAGGAAATTATGGAAAGCTATAAGCTCAGAGTTTGCTGTACTCGTAGCTGAACACCCGCCTGTTTGTTCCCATGGTTTTGCCTGCTTGGCAACCAAATTTAACATATCTTTGCCACTCAGCACCAGCCCAGACCTGGGTACGTGTGCCCAGTGCCAGCCTACCTAAAACGTTGGGTAGGGGCTGCATGTTGGAGTGGCAGGGGAGGGGTGGCGATTTTACCTGGAGAATTTCCTGCCCTCCCAGGCCAGTGTGGGGTGGTGTTTCAAGTGCTGGGCTGGACTGGGGATCAAGCCCCCACTTGGCCAGGAAGTTCACTGGGTGATTCTGGGCCAACTGCAGACTGTCAGCCTAGCCTACTGCACAGGGTTGTTGCTGTGAGGATAAAATGGAGAGGGAAAAAACCTTGTAAGCCGTCTTGGGTTTCTTGCAAGAGGAAGAAAGGCAGGTATAAGTGTTATGTAATAACAATGACTGAAGCCAGTTAAGTTTGAATATGAGTTGGTAGGCAATGCCATGAAGAGCCAGACATAATGATGGTGGTTCCTACACCTCCTTTACTACTGCTCTAAGGGGAATGCACATGAAGCTGCAATCTCAAACACAGGCTGAATACAGTGAGACTTAGCTTTGAGTAAGCACTCTAAGGATTGGGCTGTGTGAAAGTGAGGGAGAGAGTCCGGAGTGCATTTGGGGGGAACAAATGAAAAGGTCGGGGAGACAGCACCCCCTCAGGCTATGAAGCATTCTACATCCTGGCCCATCCTCCTTCACCTGCATTAAGGAAAACAGGTCTTTGTAGGGAGGTCCACAAGTTGCTCCTTTCTTAGTCTGTTTACTGCAGCAGCAAACTCTTTGAGGAACCTTTGCCTGGACATTAGCAAGAGGTGTGGGAGGCGATGGGGGGGGTGTTTCCAGTGCCAGGCTGAAGTGCCTCTGTTTCTTTACCTGCTTTGGTCAGGGTGAGAGAGGTTCTTGCAGCAGGTGAGGAAGCAGCCGTGGAGCAGGCCGCTCCACCTGTTCCCCTCTCCCTGCAGCCAGCCAAGTTTTACAGTCTGTTCACTGTGTGTGTGTGTGGGGTGATCCTCTGAGCACAACCGATGCTCAGGTGTATGTGCTGGGGGGTGAAGGCAGGAGTTCACCACAACAAGATGGCAGCACTTATCCATCAATTTAAAGCAAGCTGAGCAGCAAGTCCCAAATTTGAGGTGGCCAATATTTGGATGGGCAAGTGGGGGGTGCCGATTATACTGCATGTAAAACTGTGCACAAGCTATATGAAAATGGGAGGATTAAAAGGCACCTCACTCCTATAGACAGAGAAAACTTAGGTAGGGCAAAACTTTTACAACTCAGGTTTGTCCGAATTATTGGTATTCCCCATTGAAGAGATAAATCCATCTAATCTAGATGTCCACTGGCATTATGAGTATAGAGACACAGAAATCAATCAAGGAGAGGGGGCGGGGGAGAAAGGCGTTAAGAGGGGGAATTTGCAGCCCTCACTCATTTTGCTGTTAGCAAGAAGCATTCACTAAAAAGAACTCATCCCCCCTCCCTCCCTCCCGTGCTCCTACCCCTATGCCATCGCCCGGGGAATTTATGCAGGACAAGCAAGATTGGAATGGGGGCCGAGGGTGAGTGAGAGAGAAGAAATTGTATTAGGGGTCGTCCATGTACTAGTTTTAAAAGAAGGATTTGGAAATCATTGGTTTCGGAGTAGGGCAGAAAGCAGGCACAAAACCGCTCTGCCAGGCGTTGTAAATGCGAAAATCTGACTCTTAGACACATCGGTGCTGGTGGCCATTAGAAACGGAGCCTGTTCTCCAGGAAAAGGAATCTAGTTGTGTGAAAAATCAGAGGGCATTGCAATAAATATATCTATGCATAGATTTAGAAATTCTGAATGGTAGGAGGATGAATGCAGCCAATAGTTCACTTTCTAAAGAATGGAATTGTTGCTGATTATTTGTTTTAAAAATACTTTTTGTAGGGGGTGTTTTAATTTGCCATCGGTGTTTCGTGGGGAAACTGAAGAATTTACTGAGCGGTGTTAAGCGTCCTTGGGGAGACCAGAGTTGCTGAGCAAGCAGTGCGCTCGTTCAGGCACCCCGCTGGCGGTGGCAAAAACTGTTTCAAACCACGATTTGAAAGCTTCGGTAGCGAGTGTCAAACCAACAGAAACAGCTTCTTCAGTAAAAATAAAACCCCAATAGTAACATAATTATGATTTATAAATAGAATAAAAATACATCAAGATTCTGCACATGATTGGTCCTAGCAGATTATTTTATACCCTGTAAGGAATGAGAAGGACCTGCAGTCATATCTGCGGTTTTCTTCAGATTACCCTGGATTTGTAAATATCCTGACTTCATACTCAACAGACATATTGGGCACAGGAAATTCTAAACATTACCTTAACTCCAGGTGATTTCCCCCACCCCATACGCACACAAAATTCTCTGGAAAGACTCTCAGTGTTGGTTGGAAACCAGGTGTTTGTATATGCTTTCAAAAAATATAAAATTTAATAAAATTCAGAGAGAAAGGAAAATAGATTCTGCTTCATTTATACTTCTAACCCAAAATTACTTTCAAATCTATTTAGTTGGGGATTATCGTTAGAAAAAGAAAAAAAAATGCGCTGAAGCCATTTGATACATTAAACTAACCTGAAGATTCAAATGTCCAAATGTGTAAATTTGAAAAAATTTTCTTGTTTTTAAATTAATGTTGCACACTATTTTCATTCTTTATTTACCAACTTGCCTTGATTACGAGAAAAATGCTTCATTATCTGCAATCCTGACTGAATTTACTTCCAAGAACTCAAATCTTTTTGTGGCTAGCTATGAGTGAAGTAACTGGGGCTTAGGAGGTGCACAGATATGGAGAATGAAGTAATAATACTAACCTTAATCACCAAACCACTGAAATGAAGAGGAAAGAAAATGGGCAGGCACAATCAGAAATAATTTAGTCCTATTTAAAAAATATAGATTCAACTTCACACACACTTCCATTAAACCCCATACCAGTTTTATTTGCTTTTCATGATTTCTCTGAGTCTCTGGCTTGTCTAAAGCTCCTCCTCTAATTATTACTTAGGATTCAGCTAGAATCAAATGTTTAAACATGCAGGTTATTTTTGCCCAGGTGTTTAAATGCCCGGTCCAGAAGCATTCCTGTGCTTAACAAATGGTATGCCAGCCTTTTAAAATTGCGCATATTTTGTGACACCCAACCCGTCTTTGCCCCTCCGTTCTGTCTCCTCGAGGTACCAGCCAAGTATCTTCTCCAAGTGGCTCTGTGTCTCCGCGACCTCTGGGACGGGGCAAGCGTTAGATTTAATGAAACGCTCTTTTTCCTGCACCAAGCAGGCTCCCTCTGGATAAAAAAGGGCTCGACTAACGCTGAGAAAGCTCGAGCGGGGAGAACGGCGAAGTTCCGTGCTGCAGGGAGCTGAGCGTATGCAAAGCCGGCGCGGGCGCGCGCGGGCGGGGCCGAGAGTCCCTCTCTTTGGCGGGTTCAGCGCTTTTTCGCTGTTTGGAGTAAATGAGGGGGAATGTGGATTTTCCGGGGCCAATCGCAAGGCTAGGCTGGACAGCGAGCTGCTGATTGGCTGGGCGGAGGTTCTTAGCCTGTGCGTAGCCCCTAGTTCATGTCTACTGAACTGAGTCCAGCTGGCGCCAGAGCTGACATAGGATGCTTTGGGGATGTTACAAAAAAGGCCAGAATAAGTGGAGCTTGCCATCTGAGAAAGAGCCTCCATCCAATCCTCCTCTCTCGCTCGCTCTCCATCGCCTCTCCCTCCCTCACCCTTTCTGCATTTCCATCCTCCAAACCATCCTCCGTCACCCCCACCCCCCATTTACAACCTCATAAAGAAACTTTTCAAACATTAGGAGTTTGATTCAGTCTGCTTGGAAGAGCTCTCTCTGTAAGTATGTTTGTTAGAGGAGCAGGGATGGGGTGGGGTGGAGGGGAGCGAAAAGGACGGCCGGGTTTATTCCGCAAGAAGAATATGCTTTCGAATGGCTTTTTTTAAAAAACGCGTTTATACCGTTGGTATTTTCCTTTTATTTTATCTCAGTTTGAGCTCTTTTTACAAACACACGTAGATCAAAGGATTGTTTCACTTTCTCCTTTTATTACGATTAGAGAAACTCCGCTTATTGACAACTCCAGAAAAGTTTGTGCTACTTTTGTAGAGATAGTAGCTATTTGTTTTTTTAATGTCTAGGGGCAAGGCAAACTCTGAGGGGAGGGGAACCCTCCCTCCCTCCACACTTCTCCACACAAGTTCTGCCGCACGGCATCTGCGGGATTTTAATGTGTGCTTTTTGGAGCACATCTTCAAAAGGCATGTAAAGTACTAACCGTGCCTTCCTTCTTACAGGTGGTGAGCCCAGGTGTGTGGCAGGAGCCTCTTTCCGCAACTTCCCTGTTTTTAAAAAGAGGGACACAGAGTTACTTTTGATTCTCCTCCGAGGCCAACCCCAGCCGCTTTTGAGATTTCCATCATTTAAAACCAAGCCAAGCTAAACCAAACCAAAACGGTTTGGGGTCGGAGGGAGGGGTCTAGGGGTGGTGTGGGGGAGAAACCCACAGAAATGGAGGTAGCCACGGACCAGCCGCGTTGGATGGCCCATCACGCCGTACTGAACGGGCAGCACCCAGAAACGCATCACCCGGGACTGGCGCATAACTATATGGAACCGGCGCAACTCCTACCTCCAGACGAAGTGGATGTCTTCTTCAATCATCTGGACTCCCAGGGCAACCCATACTATGCCAACTCAGCCCATGCCAGAGCCAGAGTTTCCTACAGCCAGGCGCACGGTAAATCCTCCTCTTCCCCTTTCTTGCTTTGTTTCTGCCTCGGTTTCCTGCTGATCTTAGCGAAGAAGGGACTGGAAGATTTGTGGCAAAGGAGCAGCAATAGAGGAGGGCGACAGGAATAGGCTCAATCCCAGATAAACCTTGGCATACAGGTTGGGGGGGCGGGTTGGGAGTGGTGCGGGGGGCGAATAGGAAAGGGAAGCGGCGTCTTCGTGTGCAGAGGAGGAGGAGGAGGTTGCTACAGCTAGTTCGCAGGCACAAGACAGGGCCACTTCCCGGATATGAAATCTAACCCAATTTGAAACACTCTTAAAATTCTGGGTCAGCACGCATACATGAAAGGGAAGGCGAGAGATGTCACGGATTTCGGGCTTGTTGGTTTTCGCTCTTTTTAGTTTTGGGGTGGAGAAAACTTTAAACGATAAACGTCACTGCTAACACACTCGCCACATTCATTCTACTCAACAGGATCCCTTAGTGGGGGGGAGGGAGCGGCGTTGCTGCTCGAAGCCTGCTGGAAGCGCGCGGAGGGGAGCATGACAGCCCCTCGTGTGCCGTTGCTGCTGGCACTTCGCTTGTGTGTGCCAAGTGCTTTTGCTCCTTGGCTGTAGGAAGCTGGAGCAGGAGCTCAACCTTGCTGCAAAACACGGGGGTCCCGTGTGCACTTCCCCCCCCTCTCCAAATCCCCGCTGATGGATCGCACGGGCACCGGGCGCCTTTGGGAGTTGTTGCTCTTCGCGGATGTTGCTGTGAGCTGGAGTGATGGCAGCCCTTGCGGTGGCCGCGTACGGCGGCCTGTTTGGCCCCCACAGCGGTAGCGCACGCTGGCCTTGGGATGCCTGTGCATGGCTGCGGCTTGGAGCAGGCCTTCTGACCCGCGCTGCGGCTGAGGGGCGACGGGGCGCGCCTCCCTTCGCCTGGGGGCGGGGGCCAGAGCCTGCGCCGCTTCGGCCGCCTCCGGGACCGAGTGGTGGCGCAGGGGGGTCCAGCGGGAGGCGGGAGCCCGTCCTGCCACAGGCCTTGGCCGATCTGACGGCGCCCTTTCCTTGTTCACAGCCCGACTGACTGGGAGCCAAATGTGCCGGCCTCACTTGCTCCACAGCCCCGGCCTGCCCTGGCTGGACAGCGGCAAAGCGGCGCTCTCGGCAGCCCACCATCACAACCCGTGGACGGTGAACCCCTTCACCAAGGGGCCCTTGCACCCTTCCGCGGCCGGCGCGCCGCCCGGCGCCATCTCAGTGTACCCCGGCGGCGGCAGCTCGGCGTCGAGCGCGGCCTCGGCTTCTTCCCTCACGCCGGCCTCCCACTCGGGCTCGCACCTCTTCGGCTTCCCGCCCACGCCGCCCAAGGAAGTCTCGCCGGACCCCAATGCCAGCAGCAGCGCCGCTTCGCCCGCCTCGGCCTCGGCCGGCGGCGGCCGGCAGGACGACAAGGAGCCGCTCAAGTACCAGGTGGCCCTGGCCGACGGCATGAAGATGGAGAGCGCCAGCCCGCTGCGCAGCAGCCTCGCCGCCTCCATGGGCGCGCAGCCCTCCACGCACCACCCCATCCCCACCTACCCTTCCTACGTGCCCGCCGCCCACGACTACGGCGGCAGCCTCTTCCACCCCGGCAGCTTCCTCGGGGGGCCCGCCTCCAGCTTCACCCCCAAGCAGAGGAGCAAAGCCCGGTCCTGCTCAGGTAAGCCCGTTGCCAGCCCGCCCGCCCCCAAAGCCTGCTGAGCTCCTCGCGCTTTATTAGTGGGGGCTGCATAGGTGAGGGGAGTGCGCTGCACGGAACCGTGCCTCCGCGGGGGACGCGTGGCATTCCTGGCCTGGTTCAGATAAGGGCTGCAAAGGGCTTTCCAGCATGCACATCCCCACGGAAATGCTGATAGGCACCTTGGGTATATTTGAGGGAACGGTGGGGTATAAGTGCACTGAGTAACTAAATCAATTTAATAACAACACAGTGATGTTATGTTTGAAAGGCGACACTCAACATTTAGGTCACTCATGAAACAAGAATTCTAAAATATGTGGTATACTGATTAAAATCTGTGCAAGTCCACAATAATGATGATGATGGTGATGATGGAGATACTTTAAGGGTTGTTTTGTATGCGTTCTGTTCCAAATCACAAAGGGTAATATCCCCTTCATGCACACAGAGGTCTAATTAGTTGGAAGTTTAAATAGTGCTTTGTTGTTGTTGTTTTTAAGTTGAAGTTGTATGGAAATTCTGGTCTCTATTTACATCCAAATTATTAATTCAGACTAAATTTACCACCTCCATGATTTTTGAATTGCAGAAATCAGAGCAGATTAGAAGCAGTGTTGCATGGATTGAACATACAGTAAAAGCTGGGATATTAAAAAAGAATAGCCTTTCTTAAACACCCTGATCCTGGGCATGAAAGGTGATTAAATATTTGAAGGGGTAGGTAAATAAACTGGAGTACAGGATTTCAAGTGTCTCAGGACCCTTTTGAAAAACTTCCCTGCTCAGACCTGAATAAATTCAAACTTCTGAATTTCAAGGAGACCCTTATTTGTACATTCTATGAGGATGGGGGAGTAACTCTGAACAGCAGAGGCATCTTCAGATTTCAAAAAGTTTAGTTTGTCTTTGCTAATTGGTTGTAGGCAAGCTGTCTCTTCCTTCCAGTTCCAGCCACCAGCCTCTGCAGCATTCATCACTGCTGGGCCTGAGGGATGCAGTAATCCGTTAAAAAAACCAGGAAGAAACCCCTGCCGATCTGAATTATGCAAATAAGGGTTTATATTGGAAAATCTCTTAAACACAGCTACATAAAGGCCTAGGCCAGCTGTATTCACTGGAAATGCCAGGCAAGATCCTGTATCCCTTTGCCTTCTTTTGAGGGATCTCCAGTGAGTTGCTTTTGTTAACTTGCCATGAGGTTCATCTTTATTAACCAGTGCAATTTGCAAAGAACTAACTGTTCAGGGCTGAAATTTACAAGGGCATTTTCTTAAAACTTCCAGAGTGCCTTATTTCCTTCAGATCATACAAAGAGCAAAAGTTCAAATATAGTTTACATACCACTGCTGGCTACTAAGGTACCTTGTAAATACTAATTTAAATGATTCCAATAAAACTGGAGGAGGGAAATAAGTGCCACTTATTCTAACTCCTCCTCATCCCTATTTGTTACACAAGAAACATTAATATTTGCTTGTCTTGACATTAACATATAAAGTCTTCAAGCCAAAGACAATCTTTTTACCTCAGTTCCTTTTAAACATATTATGGTTTAATGAACAACATTCTCATGAATTCAGCACCCTGTATTTTGCTACATTAACGTAATTTTGCTGCATGAATACTTCATGCTTTTAAAATCTTTCCCTGGAGAAAGAGAGAGGAATTTAATGTGTCTATAAAGAAAAAATAAAACAAGATATACATGTACACATCTCTTTTCAAAGTGGCTAATAACTCAGAAACGTGACCTCTTTTATGAGCATTGGAACAAAAATATCACATGCTTTATTACCTCAAGATCTCCAGTTAAAATCACTCCCTTCAGAAAGAGAGAAAAAGAAAGAAAATCAAACTTTGTGTGGTACCTGAAATACATTGTTGAATCCAACACAGAGAAAGAAAACAATTTTTTAAAATGTCCATTCTACTGCTACTTCTGTAAAATTTTCTGAAGAAACGAAGCAGTCTCTCTGGAAAATAAAAGTCTTGATCTACCCTACCCCATGGCCCCACATCCCTTGCCCTCCTTTCCTGCAGTATAAGGCTTTTTATTAGAAAGTTTTGCAATGGAGAGCCTGTCCTGTAGATGGAACTGGGGAGAGTTCGTGACCATTTAATGTTTTTGTAGGAAAAGCAAGACTCACGACAAGGCGACTCCTGCAGCTTCCTGCCTAAGGAGGGACAAAAGCTAGGAACTCGGCTTCACAGAGTTCCCTCATTTTTCACTCCAGCCTGTACTGTTTAAAAACCACCCACTCCATAGATTAAAGGAGACATCGATGCAGCTGAACTCAGCATGGCCTGCTCGAGTTACTGGCCAAAGTGTATTTCCTTTGCATTAAATACTGTATGATTTGCATAAATGAAGCTAAAAGAATTTCCTAGATTAACCAGATTTGCCCTCCAACTTTTAGTAAATATCCTCTCCACCTCTTCCTCCTGATCCCCAAGGAAGAAACAGACATATATCAGTCAGTCTTTCAAGTCAGGCAATTTATTACAATATATAGGCAATGCACAAGCTCGTAACAAAGAGAATACACCATATATTAAAATGAAATGGTGCAGTACAGGAACCAAAGTTAATTTTTTGACAGTTTCAAGCACACCTTAAGAAACATTCTTTCTCCCACACGGTACATTAAAAAGTTGAATTATTTAAGATGAATCCTCAGCAAACAACTTTATTTTAGAGAGCATAACATTCACTGGAACAAAAAAAATTGGGAGTGTGGGTGGGGGCGTTGTTATTTTTGTCTAGCTAATGGTTTCCAATTGGCAATGCAATCTATGCAGTTATTTCTCCTGCTGTATTTTTCTTAGGGGATATTTGGGGTGAGGGGAGGAAAGAAAAACCTAAATTCCATTGTGACTGTGCAGTTGCAATACAAGTGAAAAAGAATAGAATATTTTCTGACCCGTTACGATTAAAATTATGCAAGTTCTATGAAGCATATTATCCTGAACATCCTGTAAGAAATTGCAAATGTAATGCTGAAGATTTGCTAGAGACTTTAGACCTTTATTGCATGTACTGTAGATGTTGTCACTGATGTCCCCCTCTCTCCCCAGCCTCCCCTTATTTCTTTTAAAATATATTGAATACTGTGCTGTTTTGATTTCTGGAATCTGCCTAAAAGGACAATGCAAAACACTTTTGTGAATTTGTTTTTAAAGAAAGAAATCCGGTTTCTTCGTGTTTCCATTTAGAAGGCAGAGAGTGTGTCAACTGTGGAGCTACTGCCACCCCTCTCTGGAGAAGAGACGGTACTGGGCATTACCTGTGTAACGCCTGCGGGCTCTACCACAAAATGAACGGTCAAAATCGACCTCTTATTAAACCTAAACGGAGACTGGTAGGTGTCTCTTTCTCTATCAGGTTCAGGGCTAAATGTTTTAATGGGGACCACACACATGCATGATGGACAGAGGGCAGCTTGACCTGTCTTTGTGCTTCAAAGCCAGCATGGGCTCTAGATGTGATGTCGTACATAAGACCCATGTTGCTCAGAGGTCACCTTGTAGCACAGGGACAGCTTTCATAGGTTCCACCCATTGCAGTGTATGTTCACTGCCATAGAACAATAGCCATTTAGTATGTGGATCTGTGTGTATATACCCACACTTGGCATTTGAATAGTTTTTAAAAATCTATTATTTCACAGTAGCCCTTACAACAGTCCTGCACTCTGGATCAGTGCAGGTTAGTCCCATTGTACAGATGAAGGTGGGGAAACTGAGACAGAGAGGGAACTGAGGCCTAAGACCACCTAGTGAGTTGACGGCAGAGGCAAGGATCAAATCAGGGAATTTTTCAACTTGTAGCTCAGTGAGGTTGCTGCTCCCAAGTTTGTATGGTCACAGTTGCTCTTTGCCTCTTTGAAGGTACGTGACCAATTATGCCTGCCTGCCTGTTCTTGTGGCTTTATTCTGCCCCCTTTATCCAGAAAGGACTGTTTTAATTCATTTGACCTTTTGGACAGTTCAAAAATATGTTGGAACTGAAAGTGTTAGTCATGTACTGCCTCCCAGCCCAGAAGTACAAAAAGAGATCCAAAGAAGAAAGTGTAAAAAACACACAAACACCAACAACCCATTTTTAAATGTAAAAATCAGATTAGCCAAAGCCTTGCTATCTGTTCAGTTAATTATTCTGATAAAGTAATTTTGCAGTCATAGATTCCATGGCAAAACTAACATTAGCACTCTTTTTGGGCAATCCTCTAATTGCCCTTTTAAAGAACTGATTATTTTTCCATGGAGTCACCTATACTTTGTATTTTCATTTGAGTGATTAAAAAAAATAAAAAATTCTAAGCTCCTGGTAGTAGTTTCCTATCCGGATATCTGTACTCTGAAGATAAGGAAACTTTGTGTATCTGTTTCCTGACTCTAAAAGCTTTAAAGGGTTTCTATAGGCAAGCCATGCCAGTCAGGCTGTCTGTTTTGAAATTGCAAATACGCTCCACTTTACAAGTGCTGGTTAAAAAAGAAATACCAAGAATAATATTTTTCCTTTTTTGGAGGAATATGTCTTATGTGGGGAGGGGGGCTAAAAATCAAATTGCCATTTGGGAGGGCACTTTTCTTTTTTGGCCAGAGTGGAAATTGGGAGGCCAAGGAGCAGCCTTAATGACCTAATGCTGGGACAGGATATAGAGGATTTTGACTGTGAGTCAGAATTTCAACAGGGCAAGCTTCTTAATGACTTGCCTGCCTTCTGAAGTGACTGACATGTCTAGAAAAATGTTAAGACAAGACTGTAACATTATAGTCTCTTGCAGGCTGAACTCCATGCCCAGACTAAATGGGACAGGCCATAGAGTTAAGCGGCAGAGTCTAGTATCAATAAACCATCTCCAATATGCAAACATAGCTCTCTGCTTTCAGATGTGTGGTAGGAAGCTCGAAGTTCTTGTCTCTCCACCAGGACATTTTGGGGAACAAATTTCCAGAGTTTGTGTTGTGTTTTGATTGTTGTATCTGGGAATGTGGCCAGGACCGTCTAAATTTCAGAACTGATGGAATGCTAAATGCTAAACAAAACAAATTGCAACCCTTATTACTGTTGTCTACTAATAAGCAGATATATTTGAAAGTGTAGTATCTCCTTTTTTTCAAATCACACAGGACCACAACATTAGGAACAATTGAAAGTCTGCATAAAAATGCAAGCATTTATAAACTATTCCAGAAAACAGTAAGAGACAAGTAGTCATCCTGAGCCAGTGCTACGGATTTATGCATGCTTCTGCTGTAAATAAGGCACAATGGGCTGCTGTATGAAGCGGGTGTGAGATCCACTTCTATCCATCAGCCTATACAATCTGCAAAGCTTAAGTATTGTAAAGAGAGAAATTCTCAATGCTTTCCTACCAATAGCAGGATAGTCCTGTGATGGGCTTCTGAGTGATGCCCCTCCAGGCATAGTCAGCTGATGGGTTGAGAGGGGCAGGGTATGGGGCAGATTCCATTTGGCCCCCTTTTGCACTTCTTCCCACATCACATAATTATTAGCCAGAAGACCCTCCTAGCAAAGAGTTGCTGCTGGGCTGCCATTGCTGTATCCAGGAATCCTTGAACTTATCCAGACTGTGAGAGCTTTACTCTCCAGCTTCCACAGCTCTGCAGCAGGGCCAAGAGCGCCAGAGCTAGTGCTTGGGCTTCTGCTGTACTCACCTTGTAGTGAACTAAAGAATTAGTTAGGAGAGGGGCCATTTGCTTTGCATGCAAAAAGCCACAGGCTCAGTTCTGGCCACCTCCTGTTTCGTAAGAATTAAAATTCTTTAATAGGTGAAAAACCTTTGCAAGAGACACTGGAGGCCCAGTACCCTTTTGGAGTAGACTTAACTGCACAAACCTGCCATAAGAACTTCTGAAAACACGCTCCGTTAACAGAATGGTGTTGGAATCAGGGCTAGCCCAATGAATTTTAGTGTCTGATGTGAAAAAATTCAAGTGGCACGGCTCCCCTTCCAGTACCAGGCACTTGTACACAACTCTCCATTTGGCTAGCTTTGTACAGGGCTGGATAGGTCTCTGCTTAAGGGTGCCCATAATGTGCTCTCTGAAGCAGCTGCTCAGCTTTAGCTCATAATAGTGGCAGCTCTAGCTGGAATGAAGGGTTAAAGGGTCCTTTTCTACTTTTGCTCTGTGTGGATATTTTTGTGGCACTTTAAGTGCTTACAAACTCTTATAATTTTAATATACTAGCTTGGGTCCAGGCTGCATGAGATGTTTTAATCTTACTGAAATTAGTGAGACTTAAGAAGTAGCCAAAATTGTAAAAATAAATGCTTATGCATCTTCGTAACTTTTCTAGAGATCTGTCAATCAAAGAATAAAATTGTGAGACTCGGGATGAAATTGTGCAGTTCAGAAAGCACCACCTTCTTAGTACAAGTTGAAATAGCAAAAGTTGGGAGAATTCATGTCCGTTGTACATACATGAATATGGTCTGGCCACTCATCCTCATTTAGGATGTTCCTAACCTTTAGTTTTGTTCAAGCTGAGACCAGGTGGAACCAAGTTATGTTTCTGCTCTTTGTCATTATGCACTTTTTCTAGCCTAGGAATATAGAACTCTGGCCTGTCCTATATTGGGGTATAGAATGTTGCTTACAGCACTATTTTGTTGTTGCTTCAAACTGGATCGGAATTGGTCCATAGAAATTAGATTGATGTCACAGGTTGAACCATAAGGATCTGTAGTGTACACATCCTGATTGCTTGGAGAATGTCATCACATTCATGGAACATTCTGAAGATCAGATTGCCCATGCTTTATTCATATTTTTTAAAAATCCAAATTTCCCTACTATACTCACCAGACTGCCCCAGAATGTGCTGAAAATATTTCCTGGAGCAGGATACCTTTGAACCCTTTGTATGAAGGATTCTTTCCTAAAAGAGAGGGTGCATTTTCCCCACTCCTAAAAACTTCTGAAATGACCCCATTGTTTTCAGGGTTATGGGTCACTCAGCCAAGTGCCAGTCTAGGAAAAAATGCTGTTTTGTCTGAATGTAAATCGTACTTTCTTTTATGTTGAAAAGTTAAGAAGTTTTTTCTTTGCTTCCTCTAAGGCCTAGCAAAGTTGAACATAGCTCCTACTGGAAGCCACATGAGTTTTACCATAAACCAGTATAGGGTTGCTTCATGCGTATTTAAGCTGAACAAAACTTGTCTGTTAGTCTTTGACCTTATTTGGCTTGTTAATGTTTAGCAAATTGAGAACTAGCTTCATTTTCATTTTTTTTAATATAGAAAGGTATGATTGCCTACCAGTTGCTTATTAAATGAAAGCTATGTTAATTACCACAGCCATCAAACTCATAAGATTTACTATACTAGCTTCTTAATAAATGCATGGAGAAAAATATTTGGGATGCTATTCTCAGGAGAGCATCATATATCCTGATGATACAGGTACCTTGAGGGCAAATGGGTTGGCTCAAGTGTATAGGGACAGACTGTTAAGTAAAGAAATGAGTTTGAATTTACTTGTTACCTAAATACACCAAATGCTTGAGTTCTGAACTATATGCAAATACATTGTTTTTGTTCAGGTTAGAACTAAACGCACTCTTGCAGCATTTAACACATGAACAAGAGAACAGTACAAACTCATTTATTCAAGTGACCTAGATGATCAGAAATGTGGATAATTTGTACATGGCTGTATTTCCATTGTGCAGCATGTAACGGCAAAATGCCCTGATTGAAAGTGTGGCAATCCTGGGATTTGTGATATATCTCAAGTCAGCTAGCTGGTATAAAAACGTTAACAATAGTAAATAAAATTGAGCTTCAAAGCAATGAGAATGGGGGATAATTTATTTTTATATAAAGACCTATGTCTGGGTACACAGGCCCAGACAGCATGAGGCAGGCACCCCTGTGTGTCCACCCCATCCACTTACAAAGCAAGAGTATGTAGGAGTTCTTACATGAAGAGGAACATGCTAGAGGATTGTTTTAAGCAGCTCTCTCCCAGTATGGCTCTGATGATGGAAGTGAGTCAGGCTGGGAGAATTACTCAAAGCAATGGAGTGCAGTGAGGTAAGGCAAAGGAGAATGGCGCACTCAGTTTTCCTGTGCGTTCCTCTTCATGGACATCGCAGCTCCTTGCTTTATATGAGTTTGTGGCAAATATGTAAGTAAGAGGCATGCAGGTGCCCCGTCTCTACTTTGACTCTTAGACAAGTTGAGGTAGTTTTAAATGCCAAGTTGTATGTATGTCCACAGTTCCACATACCTTTTGTTTTACCCATGGAGCTCTTTCCGTGAAGAGGTGGGCTTTCTCATTTAGTTCCTTGGAGCAGCAGCTTCAGATGCACAGGATGGAAAGAGGCCAAGCAGGGGGCTGCAAATGCATTACACCAGCAAGAAAGTGCTTGCGTGCCAATGGGCATATGTTCAGTTTCGCTTCTGAGCTACAGGTCTGAATGCTTTCAGAAATCACAGTATCCCATACTAGCTACCAAAGTGTTTGAAGGGTAAAAGTAACAAAATGAAATCAGTCAGTTTCATAGACTGGTTTTTCGATGCATACTAATGTGTGCAGCTTGGTATTTTCTAACGAGGACGCTTAAATACAGCAGAAAGGGGGGCGGGGGAAAGTGGGTAAATAATTCCTTTTTGCTGGCGTCGTTTGCCTTATTTTTTGTAATAAAATTCTTGCCTTCTAACAGTAGTCATATACTTGTTCGCTGACTGCTAAAAGAGCAGCATTGTCCATGGTTTTTTTCCCCTGTTTAATTAGTCAGCAGCCAGGAGAGCAGGAACATGTTGTGCCAATTGCCAGACAACCACCACCACCTTATGGCGACGCAATGCAAATGGGGACCCAGTCTGCAATGCCTGTGGACTTTACTATAAATTGCACAATGTGAGTATTGGTTTGCCGTATGCTCTTCTTTCTGCTTGCTTGCTTAGCTGGGATTGATGCCTTAACTGCAGGGCGTCCACTAGCCCCTGTATTCATTGGGAAGAGTCTTTTTCCCTTTTAAAAAGCTCTTTAAGGTTCCCCTGGGAGGTCATAGCTATTCTCTGTTGGCATAGTGATGCTGGGTTCAGTGACATTACAATGTATTAGCTTGGCTTCTAAAGCATGGGTAATTTAGGCAAAATAGAGTTACAACTCTCAGTTATAACTGGGCATGTTTGGATCTCTGCCTCTCCAGAAATTCAGAGGACATTTCAAACAGATTCAGAGAATGGTTAAACCTGCTGGGGTATCTTTATAAAAGTTTTGCAGTTTTTCTTGTTAAATTAAAGCATGTAAAAATCCAGTTCAGTGCTAAGGAGGAAACATTTGATATATCTGGACATACAAATAGTGTAAGATGTCCTTTTTCAGGTTAAAATTTCTAAAGTCCAGATTTAGAAGTGAATTTGAACAGCATGCACTGCATTTTTAAATCCATAAATCAATCAATCTCACTCTCTCTGTCTGTCTATGGAAGTAAATGAAGGTTAAGGGGTAACGCTAAGGAGAAGAGAAATGGAAGCTGCCAGAATTAGTCCAGTTTGCTTTTTATGTCTGAGGTTTTTCAGTGTGGTTTCATTAAACAAATCAAATTTATAAACAAAATCTGCAGCAGGAGAGAGGGAAGGAGTGGGTGGGTTTGTTATTTTGGCCTGCAAATGTTTTCTGTCTAGGAAACAGTCCTGGGCTCTTTGGATATTTTTATTTTGCACAAGAAGGCCACTTTGCTTTCATGAGCCTGATTTTCTCATTTTTTGTAGGTGAACAGGCCTCTGACCATGAAGAAGGAAGGGATTCAGACCAGAAATAGGAAAATGTCCAACAAGTCCAAGAAGAGCAAGAAAGGTTCTGAGTGTTTTGAGGAACTTTCCAAGTGCATGCAAGAGAAGTCTTCTCCTTTCAGTGCTGCTGCCCTTGCTAGTCACATGACACCTATGGGGCACTTGCCACCTTTCAGCCACTCTGGACACATCCTACCAACGCCTACCCCCATTCACCCATCTTCCAGCATCTCATTTGGACATCCACATCCATCCAGCATGGTCACAGCCATGGGATAGAATCTGAAGATCCTAACAGACTACAAATACTGGGCTTTGCCTAAGATGACAGCAAGGAAAGTTTCTGCCCAGAAGAGAGAATGTAGGGAAGGAAGGAAGGAAAGAAGGAAGGAAGGAAGGAAAAAGGGGATCTCATTCCAGTGTGGTTCAACTCCTAGTGCTATACTCAAACTGTGTAATGATGGGTCTTCTGCAGAAATGCTTAATGGTGCCTGTTATGCACTTTGCCCCCTCAGGTAAAAGGAGAAAGAGGAACTCACCTGTTTGATATGATAAACCTGCTGGTCCCAGCAGAAAGTAAAGGTGGCTGAAACAGTAGAAGAAGCTGGAGCCAGCTTTTCTTTCTCTTTGTTAATTACTGTGAATATTGTAAAGAGATTAGCGGCCTCCCAATGCAGAGGAAGCTCAGTGGTAGCTGCCCATGCTGGATTTCTATCACAGACTGCTTTTGAGGGAGGAAAAAATGGACAACTTTATAAAAAAAAAAATCTACTTTTTAAAAAAAAATCAGACACAGAAAAAGTCATTATTTATTTTGCTCTTGTGTTCCAAAAAGAGCTTCAAAACTCTTGCATGTATTTGTGGATCTTTTATTTTATTTTGCTCAAAGACACACCTATCCTAGTAGAAAACAGTTTTGAATTATTATTATTATTATTATTGCTTAATGGCCACATTTTTTATTCTCTTCATTGCTTTTAGATTTGATAAAAATCTACTAGGAACTGGGATGCGTATATGAGAAAGGGAAACATGTAGCTCCAGCATAGGTTAACAATAGTCTCAAGGTGCAGCTTATTTTGACATAATTTCTGCATTCTTTTCCTCAATGTGAAGATCTTTCTTCAAAAACATGGCATCCTACAAAAAGACAAACTAGACAAATGGCTGAAAGGGTTTCCATAGGGAACAGTCCTGCAGTGGCTGGAGGCCGAATGCAGGGCATTGGTATGTCCCATCAAATTTAACTGGCTGTAGGGGACAGTAACAGGTGTGCTGTCATGCCCTGGCTCCTCTGACTCCTCTCCCTTGCTTTCTGTTCGTTGCCAGTCTCTCCTCTGACTCCCCACACAGCCTCCCTTAATTGCTTCTGTCGCTCTCAAACAGCCTGTGGCCAGCCTGGCTAGGAGTAGTGGGAGATGTAGTTCAGCACATCTAGAGGCCACCCAGTTGGGAAAGGCTGCTTTAGACAGCCATTCCTGAGCCCTCTTCCACTGTGTTGCATGAGACTGCAGCTGTTTCATCCACCTGGTTCAGTAATCCTGATTTGCTCAGTGACTGTCCTGTACCCGCTGGTCCCTGGTCAGTGCAGGGCTTCCCCTCTGCTGCTCTCGCTACTCCTGTGCCCTTTTCTGCCACACTTTACAGTCTCAGAAGAGCATGAACAAGCCCTTGTGCAGCCCTGGCTGCTGTGTTGATAATCTCAGTCCTGAACTAGGATGGAGATCTAAAAACAATTCCCTTCAGGGAGCAGTCCTTGAACCACTTACGTTCATTCTGGTGGATCTTGTGCAAAAGTGCTTGCTATATAGGAATACGGGCAGATTAAAGATGCCGTGAGCTGTCTTATACATAGTCCATTGATCCATCTTGGCCAGTATTGTCTATTCTGACTGGTGGTGGTAGCTGGCCTCCCAGGGGTCAGGCAAGGTGTGTCTTTCTTCCCTTTGTTTTTCTGAGATTGTTTAACAGGAAGTGCCAAGTCTGGAACCTTCATGACCGTTGACATGCAAAGCACCCATGCTGTGGTAGAACTACTTGTTCCTCTGGTGGATTGGGTTTAATATACAACAACAACCAGTTCAGGACAGAAAACACTTGTAAGCTGAACAACACTGAAAGGATCCATCGTGGTGGCTTGGTTTTGTTTCGTTTTTTCTGTCTCATTAGCTGATGTTGCTGAAGATACAAGAAGTATTGTGTAGTTAATCTCCTACTATATATTCTTGATACTGTGTCCAAGCAGAGCTGGAATTTGCAGTCCATAGGCATGCATGCCAGAGCAAGTTTCCTATTTGGTAAGGGAAAGGCACAGAAAGTATGTGAAGATCTACAAGGCAGACAGGAAAGAAAGTGGCTACCATTTTCAGATTCTTCCACTAGTTAGCTGTGGCAACAAGCAACTGAGCAAGGAAAGCTAGTTCTGGTTGTTTCCTATAGCACATACGTTTTATTTTTAAGGAAATTCACAAGTGTTGAGAAAGAAAAGTTGTCTCCCATTCTGAAACCATATTGTACTTTTAAAAAAACCTGAAAATAAAGCTCTTGCCAGTGTGACGTGTATCTCTTGATTGTTATGATCTGATTACTTTCATGATCATAAGGTCCAGTATAACATATGATGTACATATTTAGCTATATTTCTGATGGAAAAAACACCCCTGTGAGCAGAGGGGTTTGATAATGTAAACTGCATAAGCTTAACTCTGTGACAAGCTTTTTATTGTTTTTAATTTTTTTTAATCAAGTCAATTGTATCTTTAACTGCAAAAAGTCTGCTAAGAGCAAAAATGAAGGTGTATGTTTGTTCTTCACCCTGTCCTGAAAATGTAATTCAGCTATTCAGTTTTTGGATGAAATGTCCAAGCATCCTAAGGAAAACTGCTTTCCTCCTTTTCTGGTCCCTGTAGGCATATATAGCTGCACTTTGTGAAGAAACAAATTATCACGTACAAAAAAGCAACAAACAAAACAGACATTCTTCCTGGGAGAAAGCATATTTTCAATTGATCAGAATGGCAATTATTTACTCCTTTTCCTGTGTGCGCGTGTGTGTGTGTGCGCGCACGTGAGAGAGAGAGAGAGAGAGAGAGAGAGAGAGAGAGAGAGAGAGAGAGAGAAGAGGGACTTGTTTAAAAAATGGTACAACTATACATTATTTGAAATAAATTCAAATTCCTTTGAGAGTGGGAGGGTGAGTGAATGAGGGAGCTTATGATAGGGAGCAAATCCACCCAGCACTGCTGCTGCTGTACAGCCTTGGTTTGTCTTAGGGGACTGAGCCCTGCACAAGCCCCGCTTGTAGGAAAGGAGGCTGCTCATCAGGAGTGTTTGCTGGGCAAGGGTCCACAGTTGACAAAGTGCAATATATTGTCAGTCACTGCAGCCTAGTAGAACCGCAGTCAGGATTTAAATTATTTTGTACTTGTATCAGCATAAAGATTTGGCAGTATTTTCTGTTTTTTTTAAAATTTTGCTTAAGTTTTGGATTAGTGAACTAAGTTATTGTTAATTATGTACAACTTGTTTATATATTGTCTGTAAAAAAAAAGTGTATGCTTCCCTCATATTCCTTCAAGGTGAATACTGCTAAGAATAATAATAAAAAATACCCCCTTTTTGTGAAAGCGGTTTTTGCTCCATGCCATCAATGTTGCTTCTTTCAGAAATGGACTGAATTGATGATTTCTAGGGGGTGATCGGCTACTTGAGTCATACAGGTGGATATTAGGTGTTTATGATGCTACTGAATAGGAAGCGATAGGGTGGGGCGGACTTCAAAAGAGCTTGCTAGGGACAGAAAAGCGCATCCATCTGAGCAGTAGAACTGCCCTGGATTTCTTCTACTCCTAGAGCTTCTTTGGCAGATCCCAAGAATCTAAGTTCGGGAAACAACTCAGTCAATCCATGGCATATGGGACAATCCCCTACCAATCCAGTCCCTACTCCATATGCATCTTTGGATTCAAGCCAAGAGATCAGAACCAAAAAGCTACTCTGCCAAAGAAATATTGCTGTAGAGTGAGAGCGCCTTCCAACTGCACAGTGGCAAATGTGAGTTTGCCAGTGAATGCATGCGTGGCTGGGAGTGGTGGCCAAGCCCACAGGCCCTGATGGGTAGCTATGCTATAGACTGAACTGAAAAACACGAAACTTTTCCCATGTGCAAAGTGCCAAATTGCTTTTAGGCATACTTTTAAAAAAGGAGAATGGATGCACTTTAAAATGAAATACATGAAATAGATCTGAATTGTGTTAGAGTAAAAAGCAGAATGACATTTGTGCTTCTCATTTGAAATACTTGTGAGGTTTAAATAAAGTGATTTGCTTTAAGAATAAAAACTTGAGCTAAAGAATTCAAAGAAGAGTTTTTGAGACCTTAAGGTAATGTAAAGGTTTCATGGATGTTTATGGACCAGAGATTAAAAAAAAAAAAAAAACTTGCCCATGAACAGGGAAGCCAGATATGCAGAGAATGATGTTTCCTAAATCTAAATGGCTAGTGCAAACAGCAAAGCATCCAAGGAGTACAAGTTGGATTTGGGGAGATTTTAAAACCTGCCATAAAAGCTACCACATTTAACTTGAGAGCTATTAGCTGCCAATTCTTTTATTTGGCCATAGTAGTTCGCTGGTGTATTTAGATTTAAGAATGTTTTCATTTATAATGCCAAAGGGTGAGCTGCTCATGTACTAAGTGTGAATGGTTGGGCAAAACAACATAGAGGAAGTCCATGTTCTAACCAACATTGGTTTAACATTTGCATTCTGGACCGGACAGCTTCTTGCATGAAAACACACAATGTACATTCCAAAGTTCTGACTTGGTCACTGGGCAATAATATAGTCTAGAATAAAGTACACAATGTCTGGAACTCTATAAACACACTGCAGTTTTACAACACAACATAACTGTTGAACTTTAGTTATAAATGTATAGTTATGAAGGATTTAGTTTAGCAGGTAAACAAAAGCAGTTTCCATGTAGTGGTATTAATACATACTCTGATATACATATGTCCGTCCAGTTCAGGACCTGATTAAATAGATTTGGTTCCACTGATTTCAGCAGTGTTTAAGCAAAATTCACATTGTCCGGATTGTTTCCATATGATGAGATCCAAAGACAAAGATGTGCTATGGCTTAAGCAGTCTAAGGCCTTTAAGTTATGAGCTTCGGTTCTCCCAGCTTTCTTTGTGCTGAATGTTTTGATATCAGTGATACTCGGTGGGAATTCAGACTCACCTCTTACTTCCAGATTTATGTCAAAGATTTTCTTGCCACTTTTCATTTTTTCAAAAATCTGAAAGCGGAATATTGCATTAAAATAATCAAGGGTATCTGACAATGCTTTGAAATCAAAAAAATGGCCAAGCAATGGTATTTGTCTGCAGAAACACTTCACACTCTGGTCCTGCAGTCATACGTAATGGTAGCATTTGCAAATAACTCTTGATTTCCCCCCAAAAGCATCTCAATGCTAAAAATATAAATAGAAGAACTATGTGTAAGATTTATAAATAGGAAATATTTTGTATAAGAATAAGAAGAAATGCAAGATAGATGCAAACTTTTATTTCCAAATTCTTCAGTGCTGCTTCTTGCTGTACTGCTATCCAGACTTACCACCAAGATGGTGGCAAAGAGAAACCAAGGTTATTCTTTAGAATTATCTCTATTAGTGTGAATAATATAGAGGCAAACACCAATTAACTTTACAACACAATTGAATGCATGTCTGTTCAGAAGCTCATCCCACTGGGTTCAGTGAAACTTAATCCCCCAAACGTGTGCATAGGATTGCAACCTTAAATGATCATCCAAACAAGACCACAGATGAGCCTATAAAACCCACCACTCCCTTATCCACTGTTGTTCTTTATGCTAGATTTGCCTTCCAGAATACCAGCATGTTGCCTACTCTCGTACTTCATCGAAATACCTCTTCAAAACCCACCTTTCCCATGAATATTTTTTTTTATAATCCTGTAGTTTCCAAATTGTATCACAATCATGCATAGGCCCAAGGATGTGTGTCTAAAATAATTTCACATTCTTCTCAACTGTAACCCTGACTCCCCTTATCTCCCCTCCCTCTCATTTCCCGTTTGTTGAACTATAAGCCTCTCTGGGCAGGGGACTGTTCTGTGATACCCTGTAAAGCACCATGCATATTCTGTAACACACAAATATATAAAATGATTAGGCAGGGCCATTCAAGGCACTTCGCTGCTCGAGGTGAAGGGGAGCATCCCCTCCCCAAGTGCAGAAGCTGACTGGACTGGTCCAGAAAAGTTGTGTGACATGCATAGCTCTGTTCTGCCACAACTGGGAGACTGGGGGAAAAGCTGGGAGGCTGCCACCACTGCCCCCATCTGGCATCTACTGCAGCCTGAGGCACTTACTTCACTATGCCTTATGGTAGGGCCTGCCCTGTGATTAAGGTTTCCCATTGTGGAATAGTATCTACTTGGCTATGATGGTATCTTTACGAGAGAAGACAGTTCAGAGGAAGGCAATGGAAATGGTACATTATTTAGAATACAATAACAGAGGCAAGGGAAGGTTTGAAGTCATGTTTTATGGACTACAAACCCAATCTAAATGTGAAGGTTGCAAACACCAAAAGGTGACCCTATTCTAGATCCCAACCCCAGTGCGGCCATGGTTCATATGTACCCCATCTGGATTATTACAATGTGTAGTGCAATATATAGGGTTTAGATATATTTGACTCAAACTACCCATTTCATCTGTCTTCCGTCCTTAGAAGAAGAATCAAGAGCTGGAAGTTCTACTGGGCCAAATCTGCTCCCCTCTAAGAAGTCAACAGAACTCTCAGCTGCTGCTGAAAGGCAAAAGTGCTGTAGAGGAGTTTTTTGGGTAGAGAATTTCACACGTTAAGGGTCAAGAGTGGTGTGTGGGCTCACCACCCCTCATTCTGACTTTTCTGAGGAAGAATCCACCTCTTTGTGTTTCATGTGCTTCTGCAGAATCTTAAGGCGTTTGTTCTCAGTCTAGTGTGGAAGGCTATACCAAAAGTGGTCTTGTGAGGTAAGCAGGACTAAATTTTTGCCATGCATTATTCTCTGGGGTTCAGTCCTCAGAACCTGGTTTTATTTCCTACTGGTAAGCACTGGAAAATGTAAAATAATAATCAAATACCTGTTCAGAGTGACTTTTTCTCTCACTACCCAACAACCAAACCTAGAGTCCACAGCTAGGAACAAATAGAAAGCTGATTCCCAACTCATGGGGAGTTGCTTCTGCACAAGCTTGTGTACTGAGAAAACCTGAAAGTAATGGCTGGATATTTAAATTGTCCAGAAACCTCACTAGGAACCGGTGATCATCGCTGCATTGCTAAATAAAACAAAGTTATCTTTGTCCTTATGGTCTTACCATTTGTAGAGGATCAAGCTATCTTCCTATAACCTGGATATAATGTTTGCCTGAAGGTGCTTTATATAGTATCTGCAAAATCAACAGCTGTGAAGGAATAACAACTGAGTTAGCATCTCAAAATGTGCAAAGGTAAAGCACAGAGGATATACCAATCTGGAATTGCTTATGTAAATACACATGCTGATTTTAGCTCTTAAAAAGTCATTCACCATAAAAACCTAATTAATATTTAATAAAACCACAATAAAATTAAACTAAGACAATCTACTTCATCAACTAGCTGATAAAACCAATAGCAATGAAACAGATAATGATGATAAGCCTGGAGAAAAGACCTGGAAGAAAAGTTGAGAGGTGTTTTTACCACTCTTTCAGAATTGCAACAGAAGAGACCTGGTGGGTCTCTTTGGAGGAGAGACTTCCACTCACGAAGCTTTGCTCTTAGTAGAGGTCGTCTCTATTGCCGAGAAGGATGGCACTTGAAGTGGTGACTGTGCTTTGCTTTATCTTAACTTGCACCAATGGGGAATATCTGTATGGGGGAAAGCACTCCCTGAAGTACTCCAACCCAAACAATTTCAGCTGTTACACCACTACATTCAAGTCATTTTCTTGGCACTCAAAACACTGAGAGAGCTGCTCACTGGTGGAGAGTCCTGACATTACTTGTCTTTGGATCCTGTTGTTGGGATTAATGTTTTAAGCTATGCTTAATTGTCATGTCTCTAAGGCCACATCAAACACCCAGAAGATTAGGTTACAAGAGGCAGCGTTTGATGTCAAAATACAGGAGAGAAATAGATTAAGAGTAAAGGGAAATGCTCTACCTTTTTAGATTTTTTTTGGCTGAGGCTTTTGATTAACACTTTTTTAAAGGATGCCTTTTAAATTGGTAATATTTTAAAAAATTAATCTATCTCTTCCCCCCTATCCCACTGTTTATTTACTTTGGCATTAATGCATTCTATCTTTGATGGTAAAATAATCCATGAAGACTTCATCTCAGTGATCTATAGATGGCCACATGAGAATTATGTTATTTACTTCCTTGTCTAGTATGCACTACTAATTGTTAGAAAACTAGACAAAAGTCTGCAGGAAGCAATAAAAAATCTTTACACAGTCCGATATCTTAATCATGGACAAATATATGTAGGTTGGGGCATGCTGGGAGTTGTAGGCCTTGTGTCTAAACATGCCTAGGATTGTGACTGAAATTAA